TTGGCCAATTTGGGCCTAGGATGAAAGCCCCAAACCCCATATGAGCTTTCAGAGCCTCTTTTGAAAAAAGCAGTGTGTCACGAAGGATGTTGTTGAGATTAAGAAGGATGCATGGGCTCAATATGGAGTTTCTATTATGACTTATGCTTGGAGTGATAGGAAGAGAAGAAGTCAGATGAATTTGCTTGTGAATTGTCCTTTAGGGATTATTTCATTGAGGTCTATTGATGCATTTAATTATAGCCATGATGGCCATTACATATTCCAAGTTATAGATAAGAGAATCAAGGAGGCTGGGGACCATCTTGTTGTATAGGTTGTCACAAACAATGCTGCTCCTAATGTTGCTGCTGCTAATTAGTTGCGCATAGTCCTAAAGGCCTCATGCTTGAGGCTCTTCGCAGTTAAACCGAGATATCAGGTGCTGTGAAGAAGGCAAAGTCAATTACAAATTTCATTTATAGCCACCATCTCGCCCTCAGCATAATACGTAGATTTACAACGAAGAAAGAGATTGTGAGGCCTGGGGTCACGAGATTTGTGACTTGGTACTTATGCCTAGATAGCATACATTTGAGGAGAGTGCAGTTGAGGCGGATGTTTACACCTCAGATGATTGGAGAGCATGCAAGTGGTCCAAGGATCAGGTTGGAAAGAAGGTGAGAGATATTATCCTTTTTAAGGCTTTTTGGCTAGGGGTGAAGGGCGCACTTAAGGTTTTTTTTCCTCTTGTCAAAGTCCTTCACATGGTTGATAGTGACAAGGCTTCTATGGGCTACATAAATGAGGCTATGGAGAAATGCAAGAGAGAGATAGCCCAAAATTTAGATGATTATGAGAATCACTATAAGCCTGTTTGGGAGATTATTAATGAGAAGTGGGATAGGCAGCTACATCAGCCATTGCATGCAGCTGGTTATTATTTGAACCCAGCTTTTTTTTTACGTTGATAAGGATATACACACAAATTACACAATTATGATTGGATTTAATAGTGTGTAGATGTGCTAGTCCTTGATCCGCATATCCAGGATATTATATGTGCTAATGAGCTGATAAATTACAAGTGCTCATTAAAGTCTTTTGGGAGTCTAATGGCGCTGAGGCAAAGGACCAAAATTGATCCAGGTAATAATATTCTTAAGTCCGTCAAGTTTAAATAATCAAGTTTCATTTCTATAATTCTATTATGTATTTATGATTTTATTTTATATCTTTGCGGCCAATTGGTGGAGCCAACATTGGTGTAGTTCTCCAAATGTACAAGTTGGTCATTCAGATCTTAAACCTAACCACTTCCTCGTCCAGTTGTGAGCGCAATTGGAGTACTTTTGAAGGGGTAAGGGGAATTTGTATAATTGTATTAGTAATTTAGTACTTTAGTAGTTATTAGTTTTGATTCATTGATTGTTTTGTAGTATTACTATTATATATTTAATAATTTTAATTATTTAATATATATATTAATTAGTTTCATTTGATTTTATTAAATTAATACAAAGAAAAGGAACATGCTTGAATCAAAGAGGCTCAATGACCTAGTCTATGTCAAGTATAATCGATTCTTGAAGGACAGGTTTGCTAAGAGAGATAAGAGAGACCCCATCAGATCAAAAAATATGGACAATGTTATGGAGTGGTTGGTTGATGATGATGAGGTCAAGGGGCATGAAGGATTGACATGGGAGAGGGTCATAGGTGCTTCAAGGACATCAGCATACCCTCAGATCTTCTGCACAGAGGACGAGGGATAGTGGATTTGTGGATAGTGGATTTGTTGTTCCACTGGTTTGGTATTTGCCTATTTGGTAATTTTGGTTTGATAATTTGGTTGGTAAATTTTTAGTTTTAATTGGATATGGACCGACTTATGGTTATGCTTATGGAGTGTGTGCTAATGTGTAGTATACTTTTGAATTTGGATGTGCCCTAAATACCTAATTCTTATATTTTATATAATATACAATTATACTTATATTGTTAGAGAGTATAGAGTCCTTTTTTGTTTCCACTGGGCTGCCCAAGTTCTGAACGTCCGCCTAGGCGTTGGGCGGCCTGGACCCCCCAGGCCGCCTAGGACCTGCCTAGCGCTTATTGAAACACTGGCATGCTGCCTTGGACTTCAGTTTGCTTACAAGTTACAAGTTATTCAAAGTGGTACATCCCCTTACACATTCGAAAAGATGTAGCCATAATATGTACTATATATATGGAGGGCCCATGATGTGTTGCATGCAGTGGTTTAAAAAACGGATCGGTGCCTTGGATCGGGCACCCCAAAAACACATCCGTATGGGTGAATCAGCATTTCGTATCGGGAATCGGCCGAATCGGTCGGATCCGATTTGGCCTTAAAACAAATTAAAAAAATTATTAAAAATCATTATGAATGTTGTTTTTTAGGAATCCAATAAGAAATGAGGGTATTACATTAATAACTTCTATTTTTTTGTCAATATACAAATATGAGTTGTTTTTTTTCTATATGAAGATTCTCA